TCATTTGTGTGAAGCATACAAACACACCATTGTAACGGTCTCTTCAAATAGTCTTCCAGGTATTTAATGACACCTCCTTTCCAACCTGTATTTGTAGGAGTGCCATCGCAACCCACACAACTTACTTCTTCTAAGTTCCATCCTTGATTTTCTAACAATTCTATAATAGAAGTGACAATCCCTTTCGCAGTACCTCGACTCGGCGTCGTATGTCCCAATTAAATAGATCCCGGCTCTGTAAGAACTGAAATGTGTTCTTCTAAGACTTCTTTTCGGTGGTACCGGCTGTCTATTTTATTGATCTTGACAGTTTTATCTTTTCGCCCATCGAAGTAGATACTCTTTATAATAATTTTATCGATGTCTTTGCAGGCTTGGGTACGTGACTTTGAAACAGCTCTGTGAATCTTATTTTTATCAATCACAAGGTTTAGATCTTCGGAAGATACCATTCCTACGTCAACTAAGACTGCTGAAGCGACTGCAGCTGCCGAACGCGTTGATAGTCCGTATCCATCACATACCTTAGCTACTGTTGGCAGCGTCAGAGTGTTCCGACTAAATGAATTAGATGGAGACTCCTTTAAGTCACTTATAGTAGAAGGTTCTATTGAAAGCGACTGTGAACGAGGCGGCAACACGCGTACCGGTACAGTATCGGTTTGTGAAGTACTCGGAAAACATGCTTGCTCTGTCCGCTTCAAATTTTCTTGTCTTTGATGTTTCTTTAAAAGCCTTGCAGTTTCTTTTGCGTCTACGCCGCTTATTGCCATTTTCCTATCATTTCTTTGGTCCAGTAAAAAATCTCTTTCAGAAATGGGAACTTTCTTGGGTTTAGTGCAGGAACAATTTTCAAACGAAGTGCACTTACAAGCAGCGATGTCAAAAGGCTTATTTGACGATTCCAAAAAGCACTTAACTTTGTTGTCATAGCTATCGTTTCTCTTACTTTTAGGATATCTTATTAGTGATAAATATTTGTTAAAATATGCGGATAGCAGTTGAGTAACCCGTACGTTAGAAACGATGGGAATTTAAGCTTTGGTCCAAATTGTGTTAAGTTTTCCAGAAACTATTGAAAAGACTTCTGTGTTCGATGGATCTTTTCTGTTTTTCTGTAGTTTTAATTCACTTTTAGTAAATAAAATAAAAGTTCTTTATAAAGTCCCAATATAGTACAAGTAGTCTCACTTCGCCTTGAACACATTTTTATGATTAAGTAACGCAAATTACGTTTTTCTTTCAAAGAAGAATAGAACAACTCCTTACAAGAGTAAAATCGAAATAGAAATGAGACGAACTGTCTTGTTGTAGAAGTAGCGCACGTACGAAAATCAAGTCAAAACATGAATTTTGTAGGAATTTTGCAAGTCCGATCCAAACCGATTGATCGCTAAAACAACCTGTCGATACTTGCAAATCATAGCCGAGGCTTTTCATAATAATAAAATTACAAGACAAAACAGGATTGATTCATAAAACATAGAATATACGACATTGACTACAAGGTTGTTTTTGCGAATTTTCAGTAAATAAAAATGCTGGTAGAGGTTTTAAATATTTTTTGAATTATTTTTACGCTAATCTACGTCTAACAGCGCAACTTTTGAGAAGTCTTAAGTAGCTAAAATAAGAATTTAAAAAAATCGGGACACCCTAATGAACAGTTAATGATAATGATAAGGAATCAAACAAATTAAATGTTCATACACATAAATGTTTGACTTGTTCTTGAATCGAACCCGCGACCTTACTCAATCCGTCGCAGTCCGTTACACAAACTTAGGGAGAATAGACGAAGAAAATATATATCGGTATTTCCGGACCGATACGACCTTCAAGAATAAAGCATACTCCTTCCTAAAAGGGAGGCAATGTGTTTTTGACTCCTGAGTCGCAGACGTTCATGGGCAGCGATGGTCACTTTCCATCAGGTGACCCGTCCGCTCGTCTGCCCCCTCTAACATAAAAAAATATATAGCAGAGACCCCAGATTAAAATTGAAATAAGAGTAGACAAGAGTTTTCTCTGCAGTCATTGAGTGAAATTATCTAGAAAATAGCTACATGACAGTTTTAATAAAATAAGTGTAGAAAGAAAGTCAGTGTTCTGCAGGACTCAGTGCACAAGCCAAAGCCTTAATCTAAAGTCTACATGTTAAATTAAGATTTATTTCGTTACCTTTAGGCATTTATTGGTACTGTAACCCTGACCGAGATACTGTTAGATAAATAATGTCCATTGTCATCTCATATAACAAACGAAGACCTCATTTGTTAAAATTTATCACGAATTGTTCTCTAATTTAGTGTGACATCCTTGCTTGACTGATGTATTCATCTGTTCGTATTTTAAAATACCGCTGGCTATAAAAGTTTCAACCTATTCTAAACCTTGTGTGTTTGAATTAAGAGTGTGTCATAATGTTGATGTATGTTTGTTAGGGTTGGCACTTTTCTATAATAAATGGAGTTGCGGGATCAATTGCAGTGTATAACGTCAGATAATAAATCTAAAGGACGTGTTTGGCAACATGAAGCTTCTAATTTTGTTTACTTTTTATTTGTTCGCGGTGTCAGCTGAAAGTATCGAAGATTGTGATGATATCGGTGACGTTGTAAGTAAATTTTTATTGGTACAATTATAGTTTTGAACAATTCATTTTTTTTCAAAAAAAAAGTGCTGTTATCCTGCGTAGTTTGCTCCCTTAGTCGGCTGGGATGAACAGGGTTGGTGACACTCTGTATTCTTAATCCGTCACCATACGGACAATATATTGGCTGTAGAAAGTAAAATTTGCTTATGGGTGCTAATTCTTTATGTAAAAATACTGTCACCAAAATATTTGCCCAGTCTTGTTAAATTTGAAAGTTATGTACACGAACGTCTGATGTAAAATATTTTACCATAACCATAGCTTTCCATAACATTCCAAAATAACGTAGTTTTTTTAACAACTAAGGTTTTTTCGTTCGTAAGAAAAAAAAACCTTTAAAATAATAAACAAAAATCCTAAAGTAGAATCCGAATAAAATATTTTCGGTTTATTTTTATTCAGTAAGTATTTGTTTTTTTTTTGTAACTTAAATCATATCATGTATCCTTGAGAGGACTCCCAGGAATTGTTCGAACCAATACCAGCCGCAACTTTCTGCCATCGTTCCACACAGCAAAATTTTCATCCTCATCACCTGGATAGTTGGTGCTCTACTACTGTGCGCTTTTCGAGACACTTTTTGGACCGCACAACCAAGTTATCGTCTGCGGTATTTACGGACCGATACGACCTTCAAGAAAAGAGCGTAATCCTTCCTAAAAGGCCTGCAACGCGTTTGTGACTTGTCACTTTCCATCAGGTGAGCCGTCTGCTCGTCTGTAACATAAAAAATATATATATTACATTATAGTTTGAACTTTCGACGTAATAACTCACTGCATTGTCAAGTCTAAAATTGCCTATTGAAAAGTTATTGTTATTTTTCAATGAATGATTCTTCCGCTAACAAAATAACATTGAAAACGATAATTATAAAATCATTACACGGATCATTTGTTCAACAAATTAATAACCTAAATATCTATACATTACCCGTATGACTTCATTAATCTAAAACACAATACAACTTTCACAATTGTTATAAAAACCTAAAAAACAGAATATTTAATACCCGCACTTTACAAAACTATTCAAGCAGATACATACTAAAACCAGTATATGATGATTCTCGTTGGCGACCAACGCAAACTAAAACATGAAATATATAGACTAACTCGATACATGTCCAGGGACCTTACTAATGTGGTATGTGTTTCGATATTTACCTGTTCATTACGTGTCATAGAAATAGAATAAAATTTGGTTTACGATAAATTATAAAAATACCATATTATTTTCTTTAGTGATTACTTTTAAATTTAGAAAAAAATGAAAAGCACTTTGTTCGATTTCAGTATTTATAATTGTTTTTAAAAAGCAATCTGTAATGAATATATAAATAGTATCGAACATTGCGTTTACGATTATGGTGGAAGGAAAAAATATATGTGTGACTTGTTGTAATCTTACACGATGAATAAGGAAGCAAATCCATAAACTACTAGTAGTAACTTGACTGCACGGATGGCGTAGTGCTTTAAGCGGTCACGACGCCGCTTCCTATTACGCCGAGTGTTGTGGGTTCAAACCCCATGTGGGACGACACTTTGTGTGATCCACAAATTGTTGTTCTGAGTCTCGGTGTTCCTTGTGTTCGTTTCGTGTATGTTTGTAAAGTCACAGGATATATTCCTAATGCAGGAGTTCTATAAAAACAAAAACTTAAACAAACATGGAGTATCTTCATCATCATCATCAACAGCCTTTAATAATCCACTGCTGGACATAAGCCTCTCCTTAGAAAGGAGGTTTTGGTCTACTATACCACGCTGGCCAGACGGGTTGGTATAGGATTTGTGTCAAGTTTTCCATCTCTCTGCAGTGCTGAGTTGTTCTGCGTAGTTTTCTCCACTGGTGGTGGTGGTGACACTCCGTATTCTTAATCCGTCACACATGGACCAGGTCGAGTTGTAACTTAAAACGATCATTTTTAATAACAATGTTACGTTTATATTTAAGAAGACTTTTTTTAATCCACTTAGTTTTTTTTTATTCGGTAGATATATTATTACAATTATTACATATCACACAATAATAATCTTTTATCCATGCTATTAGACATATAACCACATACATATTGAGTACATTTCAGTTAGTTGGTCAGGTTGATCAAATATTGTAATAGTAGTGTCGTATACGGTTAATGATATAGTTGACACACATAATTCCTATTGCTAACGACAAGTAATAGCACAGTGCACCGGCTGTGCTAAGTCGGTCACAATGGACGAGGTCGGCTGCGCGAGCGCATTTATACAGCGCGTTACATTGATTTTACACATTTCCATTTACGCCGAGTGTCCTTTTTAGCTGGAAGTGTAAAATATCAAAAAAAAGTGTTATAATGAAAACTATACTCGTGTTTGTGTGTGGTTATGTGTTTATGTGTGTATTTGGTCAAGATTGTAAAGTCGGCGGGAAAAGAGTTAAGTGTTATTAATTTCATCATCAACAACAGCCTCAAATAGGGCTCTCCTTGAGAAAGAAGTTTGGCCTACTACTACGCTGGCCAGACGGATTTCAAGTTTTTCTTCACTTTGCAGTGCTGTTATCCTACGTTGTTTGTTTTTCACTACACGCTTACGACACCTACGGGATGAATAGGGGTGGTAAAACTCCGTATACATAATCCGTCACCACACGGAATATTTTTATTTATATAAAGTAATGAAAATTGAGTAACATTGAAACTATTAAAACTATTTTTTTTATTACGAATAAAAACAAATGAATATGTATAACTCAGTGGCCATAGAGTTAAGTATTATTTGATTGTTAAAATTTTCTACTCTTGAATAGTTTCCAAGTAAAAGCAATAAGGAAAAATGAAAAAATGAAAAAAAAAAAGAAACTTTTGTGGAAATAATGTTTTCAAATAGTTCAAAAATTTTTCGTGAAACGTATAATTGATCTAATCATTAATAAGTACATAAAGTGTTAAGTAAGTAATCTCGTGCCTACTGAGATCACGTCTTATTTTGAAAGGCTCTTTAAACTTCAACTTAAAACCAAAAAAAACCTTATCATTATTATAACGATGAACTCTGCATATTATAAAAGTAATCTACACTAATAAAACTGAAGAGCTTGTTTGTTTGTTTGGTTAAGCGTGCTAATTTCATTAACTATTTTTTCGGAATGAGTAATTCCCTTAGTGGTGTACGAGTATAGCCCAATTCTCGAAAAAGGCTATTAGACTAGGTAACGTCACACTACGAGCGAAGTGAGTAGAGCATCAATGAAAACAAAAATTATTCCTTTCAAGAAACCCAGACGTAGTTGAGTGGATCAACTAATATATAAAATTGGAGTGTCTGTTTGTAATATTAAAATAACCGCTTTTTACTAAATGCATATGTATGTTTACACGGTACATATGCCAAAATAACATTTTTTACAATTTTTGTCTGTCTGTCTGTCTGTCTGTTTGTTTCGGGTAATCTCTGGAACGGGTGGACCGATTTCGACGGGATTTTCACTGGCAGATAGCTGATGACATAAGGAGTAACTTAAGCTACTTTTTTCAGACTAGCTTCGCCCCGCAGCGTTGCCTGCGGTTATAACAACAAACGCGGGTATCACCGCGGGTCTCAGCTAGTTTTAAATTTATGGGGTAATTATATAATATTCTCCACAGCTAGGTTAATCAGAAAATTGTGATGTTTTGGACCGAAGTTCCCTATCTGCGTTACACGCTCTGAGCGGGAGCAAGACCAAAAAATGTGTAACAAGACTTTTTCCGACACCTCTTGCTATAGTTACGGCCTTGTATGAACATTGCCGCATACAGCTCTCCCGAAAGACTCGACGGTTGTCTTCTCTTCGGCTTTCTTCGGTTATACTCGGCTTGTAGTTTATCATTACTTATTTTATACATAATAAATTTATTTTACCAGATTTTTTTCAGTTTAACTCTATTAACTTGATATTTAATAATATAAATTATAATGACTGTATAGCAAACGTCTGCCTAAGGCGAAAGGAACTTCGTGCTGACCGAGGTTCCAAAACGGCGTGAGGGTCGTTTTTACACGCTTTATATTAGCTTCACTTGTATGTTTGTATGTTTGTTTGTAACTGACTCCTTTGGGCGTGATTTTGACTGACTTTAACGGTCAGAATTCGTTCAAACTTTGTAGAGATATCGAGTACCGATGACAAAACACTAATTAAACAAAAATAAAAAATTAATAGTTTTAAAAAACTTTTTTTTATTCTACTTTGTAAGAATGAATGCGATAAAATCAAAGGTTGTTGTGTGTTTTTACACTTTTTGTTAAAAACTAATTTGCAAATCGTATAGATTTAATTGTTAAGGCTATGCATTATTTAACGACATTAAAATTCAAAAGAAAGACGTTAGCAAGAAAGAGTTTTACAATATTATGAATATGCATATTTTACATTTACATCAACGCATCGAAACGTCAGGTGTTTTTATCGATTCATTATCTTTAGCTACAGCGACTGTTTTACAATCTGTTATATGTATCGAAATTAAGCGCTTGGCCTCAGTTCTTGTGTAACATTCGCGCCAAAACTGTAGCAGCAAGCTCTATTTTACGAGGTCATCTTTTTTGTTGGGCTAATGTCTGATAAACGACAAATTTTGATATTAATAGCATTCACAACTTGTCTAGTATAAACATTTCCTTTTTGTGAGGATGTGTGGTTTCGTATCGAAAAGTAAAATATAGTTTAAGTCTGAACTATGACTTATTTGATCATCAAAAAAAGCACCTAATGACATAAATCTGGCAGAAATGTAATTGGTACAAAAATAAACGGCACGGCAAAACTACTATATAATAAATTTAAATTGGAACAATATATGTTATTCCATAGCAGTTAACTTTTACATCTGCATGGCATGTGGCTGCATTTCATTATCCAATAATAATAAGAAATAAATTATAAGCGTTAATAGAATGTAGTGATTGTTAAACTAATAATTGACAAAAAGCAGTAAATAGAATTTTATTCAAAATTAGACAAACACACCTAGATTTTTGAGCAGAGTGTGTCTGTTGTACAGAGGGCACGTACAATTATTTATTTTCTTTGTGGTTCCGATAAGCAATTGAAAGTGCTGATACAAATATTGTACGAAACGTGTTCACCAGAGGAAAGTTCGCACAAGTATCATATTGTTTCTATTCTTGTCTCAAAAGCAAGTGTATTGAACTGTCTGAGGAACTTTGTTAGTAAATTCTTTATTATATGCAATTAGTCTGTTTTTAACAAAAACTATTTCAACTAATAATGGTAATATTTGAGAATAGGTAGTTGAGCTTGTGGTAGAATATTTTCTTTTAAATTCTATGTGTGTATGTATATATTTACATGGACAAAGCCATCGTTTTGTGAGGTGCAAATTTTAGTTTATAGACGACATATTTGGCGCGTCAATGAATATCTTCAGTCTCTCCCTTGAAGATAAGAAACATGTCAAAGAGAAACGTTATCTCTTGTTTCAGGCTTTTCAGGAGCGTGTCTGACAGATGATTTGTGAAACTATTTCTATGATGTAAATGACCCGGTTAATAAGTCTTAGACTATTATTACTAAATAACTTTCATTTCTTATCCGTTGTAAACTGTAAGCGTTGGCAATCCCCAAATATTGTGTCTGTTAAAGTTGGGATGACACACGACTTATCTCGATTGCTTCTCAAATGTTCCGCTGCACAAAATATTAAGCCATAGTCATACAGCTTGTCGTCGTTGAATGTACATCGATGATCCTCGATCACATTATTAATTCATTTAAAAAATCTTTCAGCTTTGGATTCATCATCATCATCATCAACAGCCTTTACTAGTCCACTGCTGGACATAGGCCTCTCCTTAGAAGGGAGGTTTTGGCCAGACGGGTTGGTATAGGGTTTGTTTCAAGTTTTCCTTCTCTCTGCAGTGCTGTTGTCCTGCGTAGTTTGCTTCCTTAGTCGTCTCTTACGACATCCACGGGACGGGGCAGTTTTGGATTACACATACCGAAATAACATTTTCTTTTTGAAAACAAAGCACCGCTTTAACGCAAACAATGTCAGAATGGTCTAGTTGTTCCCATCAGTCAATCTAGTTTTTATAGTACAAGCTCTGATTAGTTTGAAACTAGATGGCGTTGTGTGTCAGATGTCTGAATAAATAATTGTTACTTTCCTTTCGTTTTACTTATTTTACTTATTTCGTTTTACTAGTTTTGCTTATTTGCATATGATTGGTCGCCGTACTGAAGTACGGCAACAAATTATATGTTTGTGTTAATTATATATTACAATTTATGTTGGACACGTGAGGAAACTGCGTGTTCTGCCTCTTACATTATTATTTTAAACGTTTACTACATAACATCTTGTACGCCCGTACAAGTATTATCTTGAAAAATTCTTTAGAATTCAAACCTTAATTGAGACTAGCGAACATTAATAGGGAAACAAAATCTTAGACAAAAACTTTACAACGTGTTATAATGAATTAAATTTATAGGTGCAATACCTTATTTTCTTCTTCTTTGACTGCACAGTTGCCATAGTAGTTTAAGATGTACTACTGCCTACTGCTTCCTACTGTTGTGCGTTCGATTAGCACATGGAACAATAATTTATGTAATCCACAAATTTTTGTTCTTAGTCTGGGTATTTGTTTCATGAACGTCTGTAAAGTCCCCCGCGACACTAAATATATTCCAAGTGTGGAAGTTGTCCAAGTGTTGCTGGTATGCGACTTTTACAAATAATATTTCAAAGTAGTCGTAAGCGGACAATTGATTCGAATGTTTTATAATAGTTTTTGTAATGATAAAATTACTCTCGATGGGGAATTGTTATTCGGTTTATCGATAAAGAAAAGCCTTTTCATAGTTATACCAGCTGTACTTTAAGAAATCCAGGGCGACACTTCGGATTTATATATATGTAATACACCTTTAATTGTAGCTACAGGCATATTAATCGCCTACATTTCGCCGGACATAATAATATCGTCCTTATAGACATATAATAATTGAAACTTTAACTTTGAGAATTAAATGGAAAAATTATGAGTATACTGACAGGTACAGAAATAATCAATAGAGCAAGAGAGCGTGAGCAGGTAGATCATAGGACCTTTTTTTTTTTTTCCGTGCGAAAATCCCCTCGGATACCACCTGTCGGTGGCAGATCTAGTGTAAGTTTATTTCACATCAACTCGCTCTTGACAGCGAGCGCGTTTGGCGTTGCGATTGGCGCAGATTTCAGTGACAATAGAGTAAATGTGAAATAAACTCACACATGGACCTCAGTATTGCATACCCAAACTCGGACTCACCGTTTTTGTGAGTCCAAACCCTCCAACTTAATAATCAACGTCAAATTCAGTACGTTGTACTAATAATAGCGTTACATGTTTGCAGTGCGTTGACCACGAACAATGTTGCGGTGGGTGCTGTTTCTATGGAGAGTGTGTCGATAGTAAGTTAATTATAATATTACATCCGGTCATTGTGTAACACATAACGTGTTAATTTCACTTTTTTTGTATCAATTTAATAAATGATATAATCTATATATCTAAATGTATCTATATTCAAATGTTAATTTAATGAAAAGTTGTGTACACATTAAAATGTCAAAAGTTCTGCACCGATAGAGTTCAAATTTTGACACGACATATAAAGTTTCATCATCAGCCTATCGCAGTCCACTGCTGGACATAGGCCTCTCCCATTGCACGCCACTTTGATCGATTTTGGGCTTCTCGCATCCAACTCCTGCCAACTGGAGGCCTGTGGGCGTCCTACACTACGTTTGCCGAGACGCGATCTCCACTCAAGATATCGTTTTCTCCAACGGTTGACAGTTCTGCGCCTAATTCCTGATGTGATCCCTAAGAGAAACGCCGAACTTGTGGACCAACCGTACCGTAAGTGTCCACGTTTCGGTTCCGTATGACATGACGTACACTCGGACGCACTCATTGAAGACTTTCGTCTTAAGGCACTGTGGGATCGACGATGAAAAGCTTCCTAAACGCTGCCCAACCCAACTGATTTCTTCTGTTCACCACGTCCTCGGAGTTGTTTTTACCTAACTGCAATGTCTGCCCGAGGTACACATAATTTTTAACAACTTCGAGAACGGCACCGTGTACCGCAATCGGTTCCGGTCGTACATGTTCGTTGAACATGACCTTGGTTTTATCCAAGTTCATCTGTAGGCCGATGCGTACAGAAGAGTCAGCTTGGTGGTTCAGCATCTGCTGTAGGTCCTCCAGCATGTCTGCCATGATGACGATCTGCAAATCGCAAGTGAGAGATGTATTCGCCATTGATATTCATAACACGCCCGATCCAGTGCAGCGTCTTGAACATGTCCTCCATTGCCTTTGTGAACAATTTCGAAGTGTAAAGTTTAACAATTTCAATTTTAAAGTTTGTTTTTATATCTTTTTCGTGTTTCGCATCAATGCAACCACAATGTACCATAGCGAAGCGAGGCTGGGTACAACTGGTTATAAATATATATTTTTTAAACTTTTATTAAGTAACAGTTGAACAGCAAGATGAACACTTTACCATTTAGCTCCATTATGTCACTATGATTACATCGCTAAAGATGCAAATAATTATTTTTTAAACCTGATGTTAAATGTTTGCAACACCAGAGCAGCTCTGTTAAAACTTGGCGTTTCTGAAGTAATTTTACAGTTGATCAATATTTTTTAAACAGCTTTTATTCATTCATACAACTTGTTTTGGTCCCCAGCGTACAGATCGTGTTACTTAACATCAGATGTGTGCGATGGCCATGTGTGCATCGGTGATGAAGACTGTGTGGTGTATGTGCCGCCAGAATGCCCGGGATGTGAACCACTACCTATCTGCAGACTACTTCAGTTGGAATGAACTGTCAAAGAAAATGTCAACGAGAAGCATAATATCAAACGAGACGGAATGTCTTAGTTTTAAATATTAATGTTATGATTATTTTAAATGATTGAATAACATAAATAATACGAAAGTATACAGTGTAACTTCACGTTGTTTTAAAATGTATATAGAGGGTTCTTATTATGAAGATGTAAGATTAAGAAGATAAAAGATAAATTGTTATGTTAATTTGATTTAAGTTATCTTCACTGTTAATATATACCTATGTAGTTATGTAAGTACAGTAAGTCTTAATGAGAGATAAAATTAAAACGGTAATCCTTACGAAACGAATGTGTGTAATACTTTATTGGATATTATTTTAACTAGTACAAATATATTAAAAGTACAAAACTATGCTTCAACTAAGTTTCATCATCTTCATCAGCCTATCGCAGTCCACTGCTGAACCTAGGCCTCCTCTATTGGACACCGCTTCGAACGATTTCTTGAGTGGAGACCGCGTCTTGGCAAACGCAGTATAGGACGCCCACAGGGCAGGAGAAGTGACGATTTGCGTAAGACGGCTGTCAGGAGCTGGATGCGAGAAACCCAAAATCATAAGTTTATTCAAGATTCATTAAAATAAGATTTTTTAAACAACTGATGGGAATTTTATTGTTTTTTTTTTTATATAGACTGGATAAACTGTGTAATCTGTCTGTGCAATCTGATATTCTAGTATTTTGTGGTTTCCAATAATGATCTTGAGTTGCGGACATCACATGACGTGAGATCTCTCTCATATTACATGATGTCATCAACTAACCCTGAGAGAGCAACCTCTGTAAAGATTTTTCATTCTCTTTTTAATTTACAAGTAATAAAAAGTTTTATTTAACAAAATTGTAAAAGTTTTTAATACTATTATATTTTTTTCATTATCGCAGCTTTATCACTATTAATAATTAAATGAATTACTTTTGAAATTGGACTACGCTAGCTTATAAATGTAAATGATTTGTTAGAATAATTTTAAGAGTATTATAATCTAAAACATAGCCCAAATATCTAAACATCCTTATTGTCTCCATAAAGGATGAATTCGTATACCGGTTGCTCTGGTACGAATTCTTGAAAGTATTATGTAAAGAATTTAAATAAAATTTATCTCAGTCTTTGTAGACAAAGGAATATATTTTATGTAACACATTACAAACACAATAGAATAGTTGTTTGAGGGGGCTTCTACACGATGCAAGTAGCTTGCGCATATTGAGGCACTTGCGCAGGTTATTTGCTTTACGAAAAGGACTATGCGGGTCCACGACTAGAGACATTATGCTCGTATTAACCAAACGTGCAAGTTACAGCTACTAGCAACGTGTAGAAGCACCTTAAGTGAATACATTCTGGAAACAAGTACAGCGACAATATATATATATATATAATTGGCGTTAGCAGCAGTGCTATTCTCTAAGGGAATAGCCTTGCGTACAGAGTACTTATTTTGAAGTTTGACACTGTGACAGCACTGTGTTTCTTAGAGATTAGCACTGCAGGTCTGTTGGTTAGCAATACTTACAGCTAAGCCAGAGGTCGTGGATTCGATTCCCAACACAGGACAAATATTTTGTGATGAGCACAATTTTTTGTTCTGTGCCTAGATTCAACTAATCTATAATATGTAGGTATGTCAAAAAAATTATATCTTTAGAAATATAAATAAATAATTAAATACATTTTTCGGACATCTAATACACAACGCCATCTAGTTTTAAACTAAGCAGAGCTTGTACTATGAAAGCTAGATTGACTGATATATGAATACTTATATACTTTTTTTCGTAAATACATACATATTATACATAGAAAACACCCAAACACCGAAAGAAATATTTGCAGATCATACAAACATTTGGTCCGGCCCGGGAATCGAACTCGAGACCTCAGCTCAGCAGTCGCATACACTACCTACTGTACCAACGAGGCAGTCATATTTAATAAGTATATATATCAGCACTCTGTTTACTATATGCACAGGTGCAAGATAGTTTGGGATCAGACGGCCGTGTGCGAGATGTGTCATGTTATTATAAAAGTTATATTACTTTGGTGTAGAAAATTTAACAAGAATTGTTTACAAAGACCAATCTGAATCCTTATAGTACCTTATAGTACAGTTTAATAAAAAATGTTGTTTTGATTTACGAGTTTTCTTAAAATAGTGGCATCCTGGTGGCTAAACATGATAAGCTGTGGACCAAAACTCGGTCAGTCAAGAATGTAACAAATAACCTATGCTATTTTATACAAGGTTTCTAGTTATTCAACTACAATTTTTATTTTTATTCTCCTTGGCGGTCTTTTGTCTGTCTCTTAATAGGCAGGTATCTATGCGTGTGTCAACTATGAAACAACCCGCATGTCTGCCGGTTATCGTGCAAAAGGGTTGCCTACGCCCTTACTCAATAATCAAAGTATCTCCTTATCAAAATTAATTAATCGTTTTACTCTACACATTGCCAGTGGACCAGCAGCCGTTGCCGTTTGCCGTATGCCGATATACATCTAATCTAAATCTAAATATATACATCGTCCACAGCCTTTACTAGCCCACTGCTGGACATAGGCCTTCCTTAGAAAGGAGGTTTTGGCCTACTATACCAGACGGGTTGGTATAGGGCTTGTGTCAAGTTTTCCTTCTCTCTGCAGTGCTGTTGTCCTGCCTAGTTTTTTTCCCTTAGTCGCTTCTTACGACACCCACGGGATGAATAGGGGTGGTCACATTCTGTATTCTTAATCCGTCACCACGGGCCACGCGGTCAATTAAAAGTATCGATAACAAAAGACTCAAATCTTCATTCATTAGGACATCGTAGAGGTATCCTCTACGATGTCCAATATCGACCACCGCTAGTTAAAATATAAAGTATGTTTTATTTGATATGAAATCACATTAGCAAAATCAGGCTTACAATTTGCTTAAACTGTGCAAGAGTTTTGCACAAATCCACCACATGTTTAGCGAGAAATTGGATGTAAACACATTTTGTAGCAAACTAAACAACCACAGAATCGAAATCGACTATTAGTGATAATCGAAGCACCTCTAGCGCGTTCGTTTCAATTTACGGAGAGTGTGGGAGGTGTGCGACGTGTGGATGGCGCGGAAAATTACTTGTGCTTTATTTTTGTTATAGAAAACTTGCAAGGCCTGTATGCAATTAGGTTAAAACATGTTATTGTTTTAGAAGCCTACAGGATAAAATTGTAGAGATAATAATAATATTTTTTTACATCTGACAAACAACCCCATCGAGTTTCAAACTAAGCAGAGATTTACTATGAAAACTAGATTGACTTTTATTTCATTACTTACCAATTAATAATTATAATTGCTTACCACATGTCTTCTATGATACCGGGATATCACTCTGATCGCGTTGGCCCATATTTGATGAAGCATGACTCCACATGGTTCTTTTTTTGGACATCTACGAGTATCTACATCACCATTCAATCATCAATCAAGGTGGATAAGACAAGAGAACAGTACTTTACTTACTTACTTTTTTATGATGAAAGGCACCGTATGTCTTCTTTTATTCCTCCAACAATATGTACGAAAGAGATTTATAAAAATAGTTGAAGTATTCGGGCATAGGTAAATAATAAAAATTACTTTGGTTTTCATAATTTATCGAATTAATTAGTAAAATATTAAATAAAAATGTTTAATTGTTCAGCAAATGGGTTAATTTACACTTTCTCTTTTAATAAAAAGTTTTTTACTGTATTTCCATATTTTTTGATAGTATTGCATTTAATAAATATAAAATTCGCAAGCAAAATACTAAAATTTGATATATTTAAATGTGCCTTTCTATGTGTCATAAAACCTCGAGTCAACTTGATTCTCAAGTAAATGTGTATATACTTAGTAAGTTTATGAAAAACTTTCTTTTCATATTCTTTTTAAAGTTAGTTTATTTTTAGAGTAAGTGCATAGGCTACAGCATTACACCAAAAATAAACTAACTTAAAAAAGACACTTAGGTACTTCCTTGTGTAAGTACGTAATGTTCTAAATACCGCGTCTACTTATTATATACTTATTAAAGGTTAAGGTTTTAAGGTTAAATAAATGTTGACGGGAAAAAAACTACATAGATCAATTCAGTATTTACAGGAAGTACAAATGAATAATCTAATTAATAAACTTAAGTTTAATAATTATATTTACAAAAGAATTATAATAATTTCTTCATTGGGTATAGAGCGTGGACCACTCAGTCTGTAACAATCATAACTTAACCATCTTCCTCCGAGTCTTCTAAAGTCGAGAAAACAAATCTCTGAAGTTCAAAAGGAGACTAATTAAAATTCCATAAAGAATTAATGGAAACGTCAGACGTAATCAACGTTTCAGACAGTTCACCGCATTAAATATGTACAAGTCAAAGTGTCGGCTTGGTGTCGTTTTGCCATAAAACAGAATTAAACCCTTTTCGAAATAATTGATGAAATAAATGAATGTTATTGAATGAACTTTATTTGCGTGCAAATTGAGCCCTCGATATAAAAGTAAATGAAGATTCTCACACTTACTAAACTATTAATAAATAATACAAGAAAATTAGTAGATTCACACACCATCAGTTTTAAGATAAAAAAAAGACGAAATAAAGACTTGTAACTAAAGTCTTGCATAACAGGACATAAAATCATAATAGTGTGGTTAAAATCATATCTAATATAACAAGTGTTTTGGTAACCAGTATCTTTTAAACTGAAACTATGTTACAATGTTACACGGGCGGAAAGTCTTGACTCGTAACAATTTGCTGGACTTGATGAGAAAAATGACTAGGGTTGTGTTAATACGAAATTTGTAATCAGTATATCGAGAACAAGCATGTTTCGGGACGAAAGAACGAAAGTTACCATATGTCTTGCTCCCTGTACGGCATGGAAACCTAAGTTCATTAATTTTGTTAGAGTAGTCAAAACATAAAGGCGTGAACTACTAACAA